AATTAATTTCATATCATCTTTGATATTATAAGATTATGATTTCTGTTGAATATAAAATCTCTCATTTTGAAATATAAGAGTTATACCTAGTATTATACAAAAATAATTATACTGCGAACGTAAATTTTATACGGTAACTTCTACATTGCTGGTTGTTAACGTATTCCTAAATCGTCATTCATCCGTGGAAATGATAGTATGATATTATATATAGCTTTTAATTTTGCACTACGATTTTCAAAACAATTGAATTCCAATTATTTTTTAAATTACTTACGCAATGATAATATGCAATAAACAATATACATATTATATTTATAGATTAAATAACAAGGGCGACGACGATGTCACGATAAATGGTTCAAATACCCAGCTATTTTATAGCAATTAACTAATTTATCGTATGTACTAAAGTTAGTCCTAAAAGTTAACGACTGCGTAAGCTAATTAATTATACGTGAAACTAAGTGCCAAGTGTGCCAGTGTTCGTACAAGCTAAATAAAAATAATAATAATAATCATGCGCATGGTTGTGTTTTTAAATGTGTAACCCTAGTTATAATGCAAACACTAATTATGGTTGGTGTTTGAATTTTAATTTATGTGCTTACTCGCTTATTTCTAGTGCAGGTAATTATCAAATAATAATATTAATAAAATACGTACATGTTTTACTATATAGTGCTACTGGGGTAATTATAATTTCATTATTATTGACTAACATCTTAGTTTATTAATAGAAAATAATTTCTCAAAGTACCTAAAAACGTGAAACTTACTATGTAAACATAAAGAAATATTAAACGACGAGCATTCAAAAGACCGAAGGTTAAGTTTAAAAGTTGTATTGTGACAAAATCCATTTTTTTATAACCCACATAGTAATAATGTTTTGCATATTGATTTTGAAAAAAAAAGCGATCGATTATTAATAAGATAATATAATATCTTAAATCTTAATAGCATAATGTACAAAACCAATTATTATGATATTATTATTATAGCCAACGGGAATATTGACACTGTTGGTCCGATGTACCTATATTGCCTATTTATAACGCCGGCGAACGCCGTGAAAAGAACGAATAAAAAATACCGTACCGTCTTCTCTTTATCGTTTGAAATTATTTTAAAAGAAAAAGGACCAAAAGACAAAAAAAAGACTATATGAAAATATTATGTCGGCAAACAACTGCTTGGAATCAAATTAATTAAATATAATACAAAAGTGAATCTATTGTCTGTTTCCTCTTTTGGAACCGGAAAACCAACTTGCAGTTTCGATTCTTTCGGAACGCATATTTTAATGGCACCTACTATACGGCGTCCTCGCGTTTTGTTAAGGATGTTGCAGGAAGGGAGCGTCGCGTCTTTTTGTCTTTCACGGAATATTTCTGCCTCTTAAGCGTTGTTGTTATTAATAATTAGAAAGAAAAAAAGCGGACGAATACGCGACTTGTCCCCGTTTTCGTCGTCGTCGCCCGCACAGCACGGTTTTGGGATATAACAATGACCTGAGGAATTTTTTTTTCTTTAATAAAGACGACTAACAAAAGCTGCAAGTTACAGCAATTAATCAAAATATTTTTTTCCCCGCCCCGCCGGTTTTTTGTAAAACAAGGCCAAGTGGATGTCGTTGAGTGCGTCGTCGAGTTTTCACACAACGGCCGTCTCCAAAGTTCACTCTAAAAACAATACCTACCCGGCAAGTGTTTTTGTATTTTATATTTTTTATTTATTTTCTATTCTGCAGCCCCACTCCTTTTTCTCTCCGGTACTTTAGCTAGATCAAAACTTGTACTGTACTCGAGTGGCTCCCGACTTATAAATTGTGAGCGAGTATGTGCAAAACAATGACCGACCGGTGGCGGTGCAAAAAAACAATGTTTCTCGCGTGTAGGTATACGTGTTTAAATTCTTTTGAAAATTCAAAACTGAATAACCTTCCATACGTGCTTTTTACACAATGTCGTGTGCGAGAGTAGCCGTTGTACTACACACGTATTGTTCTACGCCATGGCAGTGTAGAAAAACCCATTATCTTGACGAGCGTGCTTTGAAAATGTAAATTTTTTTACAAGTCGTACTCTATAACATACACATATTATAATTGTATATAATGCAGGGGCGATATACATATTATACGGTTGCACTTAAATGCTCGGATGTCAGGTCATAACAAAATGCGTTTACACTTAAATCGGTCACAATACTGCATGTTGACCCTTTGTAGCAATTATAATGTTAGCTACTAATCATCCGAACAGCTAAACTGCCATAAAAATCTCACAAATAAAAAAATGGTCGTATTTCATTTTTCTTACGATAATGCGATAAAATGCATTTCAATAGGCTTATGCATGGTGTATACATGTCACGCCTAACGTAACACTTGGATAATTGATATAGTTTTTTTTACTAAGTCACCAAAATAGATTTTTGCCTGCAGTTGTTGGCCCAAATTACTTGCACCACTGAGTATGCACTGATTTCAAAGAGAAAAGTAATTAATAAACAATAATAATATTGTGATTTATGAAAATATATAAAGTAACAATTCGAATTAAGGGTGTCAATTATTAGTTATTAAATACACAATAACAATGATATTTAATACTGATTACGATGGGAAGTAAGTAATACCGGACAACAGTATCCATGTCCAACTCTCATATGAAACGATAAGTAGGTAAACCGATTTTCAAAGGTAAATGATCATAAAAAATATGACAGGTCGATATTTTTAATGACATTGACAACGGTACATAGTATTATATTGTTGGTGATGAGTGTTATGTACAATTCTTATATATACAATAATACACCATGGTATATCGCATCCCAACATAAAAATAAATATGAAAAGACACTATGATATGTATATACTTTACTATTATGTGTGTGTGTATATATAAGAAATTAAAACCTTATTTTTAAAAATGTAATCGAGTGTAGTAATTTAAGTGTCAAAAATATTATGAAATTTATCATGAGATTTGTGTTTGAACTTTTTAAGGCATACCTATAATATGTTATTGGTTTATTACGTGATTAATTTTACATGATTGGTTAATATATTCGTCTTTGAATTTAAATATTTCAAAACAATACGTTTATGTAATTTAATATAATTTTATTTAACTTGATATTTTTTAATTATTGTACAACATTTTAATCACCAATAATATGAAACTATTGTGGTATACGAGTACACTAGACTGTATATTGTATACCACTCATGTGAATTATTTCTATTGGTCATCGTTATTACCTATCTCTTTTTATACCTATATGCCAGAATATTAACCTTTTTTCCTAATGGGATGATCAATTACTAATTATTATTATTAAAAACCATTATTATATCACATAAAATTGAAATATAGGACAGATATATAATATTATGTCAAAACTATATAGAAACCTCAATTATTAAAGTAATTACTTATCGGAGTGACTGGGATATATCATTATAAAGAGTAATTACCTTACAAGAAGAGGGAAAAGCCCGTCAATAACGGTCAGTCTATGTAGTTTACTATATTATTATTGGCGACATTATTTAAGTTGATGCTATACATTTTACATTTATATATTTTTTTAATTAATTTTATTTTTGTAAAAGGTTTGACGCGATATTATGTTATGTAAACTATATATATATCATACTATACATATTATATAATCTTCATTTCACGTATATACCTATATGCACATATATATTTTTTAATTAATTATTTTTTTAAAAGGTTTAAAATGATAGGTATTTGTTTCATATAAATAATAACGTAATGTAACTACGTTCCTTTACGTGATTTTTTACTAGGAAAATGTTGTAAATCCATACGGACGATGTCGAACATTAACAGGGTGATACGCTTTTGTAAATAACAAAATAATAATAATAATAATAATAACGTCCAAATGAATATGAAAAGGGAAACAATTACATACAACATACTGGAATTTACAAAACAATTAAAATCATGTAAAACGCTGTGGCATTCCACTGTATAAAATAATATTATATGTAACAATTTATTTTTAGTTTTCATAACATGGTTTAAACACATTTTATATTATTATTGTTGTGCAAATGACAACTTAATATAATTTTACATACCAATAAACACATATTCGTATGCAAATGCGTATCCATTTAAGACCCGATAACGTAATTTGGTTTCAAAAATTATAGTAGGTACCTAGCTACACGAATTGAAACTTTGAAATTTCACGAAAGTGTAAGTTAAGGTTCCTATAATGAGCACGTGCGATGTATACAATATTTAAATTTGAATATCCAGAACTACTGATGTCTGATCTTAGATCTATAATATAATATACATAAGCGTGCATTACCTTTACCGAATCTTTATATTATACTCCCCCGTGTGTTATATTATTATTTAACTCAGTCAAAATGTTATAGTATTGTTAGTTGAAGCTATTGTTTGTGCGATGTTATTTTAATAGTCTGCATTCGTAGAATCTTATAGTTTTCCGTGATAAAAAAGACTCTATTATAATATGTATATATAGAAAGGAAGTGTGCAGTTTCAACGTTATATTCTATTATTGGCCGCATTATTTAATGTTACACTGATGTACCATTATTATTAATTATTAAGTGCTAGTATACCAGCTAGTTTCTATAATCAATGATATTATGTACCAATCACCCCGAAATAACGTCGGTTAGGTATGCATCACATTATACGAAATCGCGTTGACCACATTCCACGCGTAATACCGGTAGAATAATAATACATACTCGTATTACAGCAGAGTATACATCATACTCGAATGGTTTCCCAAAGTTATAATATAATATAATATTATACACGGTACAATAACTTTTGACTATAATATACGTTCACGTCTTATTTATCCATTGTCATCACTGCAGTTATGTCTTTATACATATACATATATATATATATATATATATACCTATATTATATCGCACAGTATACTAAATCGATGATATCTGATTTCAGACAATGCTGTACGCCTTGGCAGACTCCCTCTCGGCGCTTGGCAGAGACGCGGAAGCCGAGCTCTACTACAGACAACTGCTCCGGGTCAACCCCACAGACGTGTCCGCCTTCCTGACGTACGGCGATCTCTTGGCCAAAAACGTAATTGCTCGGGGTTTTTGTTGTTTTTTTTTTTTCGTTACGCACACATTTATACACATTACACGCACACGCGTGTGTGATTCAGCGCAATCGAACCGCGTGGCAGTAGAGTGGCGTGGAGAAGGTTTTCGACTCGGAATTATATATCGTGTATACCGATACCGATACCGCGGTATGCGCCAATATGTAATGGCACTCCGAGCATCATTCGTTGTATTAAACCTCCCCGCACTCCGTTCCGCGGATCGAGTCTCGCCGACGTGTATTCGTTTAATTGGTTTCCTGCTGTATTTCACAGCCATACGCATCATATGGCTTATGGGGGTGTGCCTATATATAGTTCAGATAAAAATAAACTCTCAAAACATCGCAGACGTTATAGATCTTCAGCGTTAAATTGAAACGGTTTTCGCAAATCGGAACGTGAGAAGTATTTTAACCAGTTTGCAGGCTCGACGTTCCGGCAGGTTACAGTCACACTCATCACTCGCCTGACATTTTTTCCCCCCATGATCTGCCGTCGGGTACCCAACATACACGGCATACACGTGTATGTTAACCCAAATGCATAAAATATACTCAGTGTAACCATTTCTTATCGGGAAACAAAAACACCTACAACAACAGATGATTCTTTTAGAGGTACCTACGCATCACTCATTTTCTCAAAAATTATTAACTTTTTTTGTAGATATTTTCAACACGATTTATTCTCTAATGCAAAAAAAATATTTTTATCGATATCATATTTTTTAAGATTATGAGTGTTTCCCTCAAAATAATCATCTTGCACCTAATGTTCTTTTAAAATAAACCTTATGTCCCTTTAATATTTGATAAAAAAAATAAGTTATCTACCTACCTCTGCTATAAATTGTAGGCATCGTGTCAGCCGTACACATGTCAATACATAGTTTGAAACGGTACCTATTTATAATTCACTCGTTAATATTATACGTATTCGTTATTAATCCTTTTTCAAACGATTTGTGTTGTATACACTATTGTTAAACCTCCGTGGCTGGAATACGACCGGCAGACGAGCCGATATTGTTCTTTAGTTCTTACACATAATAACACAATACATTAATATCATACAATATAGTGTACTTATTATGTGTATAATGTATACAGTACATATTATTAATATATTGTAATGCTCGCAGACACAATATGCGCACCTATAGATTATAGACTTCGCCCGACTTCTCGACTGTACAGTAATAATAATAATAATAATAATAATGATAATGTTGGCTCCCCGAGCCCTAGCTAGTTCCTGCTACCCAGCGGTAAATACGAAATTTATTTACTCGCGCTCGGTGTATACTCGGTGTAAGCCGATTATACCGCCGGTGTAATGGTTTTAATTAAATTCAACGCTGTCATCGATTTTGGTCTTACCTTATACGCACGTATTATATTATATAGGTAATATAATAATAATATATCGTATACGACATAATATAGGTATATACATGTTCTTTATGTATATGTTTATAGATCCAATGCAGCCACTGCGGTGATAAGATGTGTTTATCATTATTATTATATATTATTACGCCGATCCGTGATGAAGTTTGAAAAGATCTCTTTTTTTTTGCTTAAATAATATTGAATGTTCTTTGATCGGAAAAAAATTATTTTAAATAATCATAATGATTACACAAAGCACGGCTTAAAGGTGTAGTAATCATATTTAACTATATTGAGACTATTCAATATTCATATTTATAAAAAAAATATGGAAATATATGGAAATATTCATATTACATATTATTTTTTTTGTAATAAACTGATATTACATAAGAACTTATAAGTACAGATACTAATATATATTTTATTTATAAACGTTTAAAAGAGGAGAACTAAATACATTAGGTCCTATGACGTTTGTAATAAGATAAAAATAATAATTGGTTTATCAATTATCGATGAACAAAAAATATTACAGTATCAATTTTAAGCTGTAACGTGATTATTGTCAGTCTATCTGATCAGACATCACATCGTGCATTTTAATTTAATACCTACCAACATGTATACACTCTATAGCTATATTTTTTTTAAATAATGATTCAAGAGGCTTATTTACGAAGAGTATAAAAAAAGTTTCTACGAACGAAAAATACATTAAAAATGCGTGATGTAATATGACAAATCCTGTTGCTAAATGGAAAAAATAAGGGATTAAGGGATTACATGTTTAATTGAATTTTAATTTTAACTTCGACTTATAAAATGTTCTTATTTTTGTTCATTGATAACAGGAAAAATTAACTCAGACAATATAATTTTATATAGGCAGTCTTAATAGCTGCACGTTGTTTAAGTATATATAGTGCTGAGCAGCTAAAGCGACTTTTCATCACGTCAGCCTGTTCAAATCAGAGAATTCATTTTTAATTTTACAGTTTGTATATTGTATATTTATTTACTTTTAATACAAAATACTCGTAATGAAAAAAAGCAGCTCGAATCGTTTTCTATACAACATGTACACACAATCACGTTGTTAAGGGCGACGAGCGTCGTGCTTTAGCTACCTCCAGACTCACTGCAGTACGGTTTAGGGTAGGTCGCGATAGTAGTCGCCGTCGTGTACACCGTATATTTCGTATATATTATTTTGTTTCGACATCGTCGGATAGAATTAGTATTATTTTAGTGTTACTGTATTTATACGACCTCGACAGCGGGGTGTAAATACATTTTTCGCATTCTATATTATAATGCTGGGTTTTTACTTTGTAGTATTATAATGTAATATATAACTTTTCGATTTCACAAAATGTGTTGTTTTTTTCGTAATTCAGAAAACAATCACCGTAGAAACTTGAAATGATCAATGAATATTTATATAAATGTACTACAGGCGTGAGCCAATTCTTAAAATACTATTATTTTTTATGAACACCGACATTTAATCATTTTTTAAAAATATTTCTTCGATTGATGGAGATAAGACTTTTGTTTCTCACTCAAAAGCCTCAAAATGGAAACAGGGTGTCTAATAAATTGTATTTTGTTTATTTTTTCAAAGAACATTTTTTAATTTATAATAATTGCTGTGTAATTTTAATACATTTTTCAAACAAAATATTAATATACGTATAAACATTGAATAATATCAAAAGTTTCATGCACTAAACAGCTATACTTTTTCCATTCTCTAATAACCAATGCATATTTATTAGGTATGTGACCGCCTAGGTTAGGTACATCCAAATGACTAAACTGTTCTGGAATAAATAAGAATATATAGCTAAGTCATTAATACTTTGCAAATTCGGGCGAGTCTTACATGTGTTTGACATATTACTAGGTCCACTATTATAATTTAATATGTTGGTGGCCGGTTCTACAAATTAAATTTAAAAAAAGACACAGTTACATCTGAAAAAAATAAAAAGTAAAGTACAAAATATTATAGAACGACCAAGGTAATTCGTAGGTACATACACAAATGAGTACACTGCAGAGTAGTTATATACATAGACAAATGTATCTAATTTTAAATGAATTTACACTAATATAATAGGGAACGACTGTACTAAAATCGTTGTTTGTTTTTTAATTATTATCATTCGTTTTTATATTATAGAGGTATACCTATATTGAAAAAGTTTAAAATTAAAACCGATGATAATAACTATAAAAAAATATTATTGTTCTGAAAACTAAAACGTTTAAGAAAATACACATCAAAACCTTGTTTATATAATATAATAATTGTTGACGTGTTCTCTGCCTGGCAGCGTTCGAGAGTGTCCGAGGCGGAAGAATGGTACGGCAAAGCTCACCGGACGGCGCCGGACGACCCGGTGGTGCGGACCAGGTACGCTGATTTCCTGTCTTCCGTGGGCAGGCTAGACGATGCGGTGGAACAGTACGAGGCGGCTGCGGCCCTGGCTTCCGGTGACCACGAGATCGTGGTCAAGACGGCCACGACGCTTCGCAAGATCGGCCGGACGTCCGACTCGGAAAAGTACTACAGGAGGGCTGTGCGACTTTACCCACAGGTGAGTTCATTCGAAGATACAACTAAAAGATTATGATCGTTTTTAAACACACTTTTGGGTGATTGATACTATTGTATTGTACCATCGTAGTACAATATATATTATAATATTGCACTACAAATAATAATTATTATCAATGCAAATATTTTAAAGTAACCTAAACGTTATATCCAAACATAAGCTCGTGTACGCAAATGTTTTAAAACTCGCATTTACAGATGTTTATACCCCAATCGTTTCGTTACGGCTACATGACTATTCCGATAAATTGTCATTCAATTTTGTCTTTGATTATAGAACGACAGCATCAGTGCGTTCTCTTGATGGTTGTCCGACGAATTCTACGACGTATAATATTATACCGCTAATAAGGGGTTTTTCCATACCAGTAGTGCCCTTGTTGTAGGTCAAAAAAAAATTTCAACGGTCAGATATAAAAAACGTCATATTTCATTTTTATAATAGGTACTTTTTGTCGAAGACCCGATTCAAAGCCCCAGAGGGTTCAATAATTCTTAGAAAGACAGTAATAACGTGAGTTTTGTAATGGTATCAGCCAACGTTTTAAGGATTTGATTCCGTATAGTTCGTAGAAAGTCACGCTGTAGTTTTCATCATAATGGAATCAAAAATTAATTCTTGCTATAGAAAAACTTTTATTTATTTCAAAAAAAGTATTATTATAAGATTTTAATATCATGCATTCTTTCGATAGGTAAATAAATGAAAAAAAATTTAATTGCGAACAAAGAAGGTCGAATTATTTGACAGGTCGAATATTATCAATATATGCCAGAAAAAATGAATGAAAACTTTATCTCACAATTATATAAATATATATATATATATATATATATATATTGTCCCCCGTTTGGACTCGAACTGCGTGATATTGACATTTTTCAAGCTCCGCCGAATTTAAATGGGAAAATTCGTTCCCGACATCGCTTACGGGTGATATATTATAAGGGTGGCGGGAGGCGACGGGATTCCATAATACACTTTGAATACAACGCAACTTTAAACGCACGCGTTACGAGATTAAAATCAATTTTTAAAAAAAAAAACGGAATCTTTTTTATTTTTTATTTAAAATATAATGTAGGTATATCTAAAAACGATTAGGTAAAAGAAAAATGCGCACCCTCGACAAAAACAGAAAATAAAAAAATAAACCTAGTCGAATTGCATTTGCACTTACATAATATGTAAACATGCCTCTTTCGGAATTTTGATTTCATATTAGCTTGAAATCTTTCTTAACCAATTTTTAGCCTGTATTTGCAAGGCTGATTCAGAATTCGTAAGTTACTGGTAATCTATCGGTTCTCAAAATCCGTTCTCCTAATTCCCACATGTCTCGATCCCCCAAGCAAAACAATTTAAAACTTTTAGAGTTATATTATTATTTGCACAATTTTTCTAGGTTTTTCGTTTGCCCATATAGAGGTATTATGTTCCTATTATCTTTATGCCCCCAGTACCTATATGATTTGATAGTGGTAGAGGTGTGAACATCATATTATAGGAAATATTTACCAGAGGTATCATTGACCTAGATAATCGTTCCACGGGGGTATGATTTGTCTATTACACCAACTATTGGTTTAAAAAAACTTTGTCATTCCGTGTAGTTCGTGATGGGTGGGGTCCTCTCACGAAGGGAATATAAACACACGCCTAAATATATAATATCCGCCTGTAATATTATAATGAATAATAAATAGGTCGATTTCAACTATATAATATATTCTCATATCCACTTAAAACGCTTAAGCCGCGGACGCAGCTTTAAGCCACGCGTATATATAGCTCGCGGCCACGGCGCGGTGGTTCGAAAAACGCACGACTTAACGCGATTAAAATGGATATGATAATATTATAATATTTGATCAGCGCACGGAAAACTAAACGACGCCGGGGCGGCCGACACCGTAGGTACCTACCTAATCGTTACTCGAATAAAAAATAATTTAATAACAGTTTATATAATAATACATTAACAGCCTGATGGGGAAAACTACAGATTTGGTTCGTTTAATATTGTAATATGAATATTAAATTATTTAATTAGGTCTCTATTTTTTTCGACGACGAATAAATTATGTTTACATAAATTATTTAAATGATTTTTGAAACATTTTTCTGTTACTGATCATTCAACAGGTACCTTTGGGGATTATATTTATACTATCAAGAGTTTTTTCTTACGCCACAGTTTACGGTAAAGTAAATGTTATGTCATTTGGCTGCAGCCTTTGGGCATTATCGATTTCAACGTATAATATATAATATTTATTTATTTTGATACCTAAAGGATTCAATAAAATTACCAGGAAACCCAAAAAAATATTTATACAGGTATACCAAGACACTGCCTTTTAGAAAATATACGGGTTTTCTTCGACTTAATAATATTTTTATCAACCATAATAGGTACCAACTCGAGTTAATTATGGTCATAAAATTTTCACCCTGTCGTGCTAATAAAATAAGTGAAATTCAAGCACCTCAAATGAGTAAAATATGTGTAAAACCATTATGAATTCAAAATAAGTTTGATTTAAGAAATTACCATTGTAAATACAAAATGTTATGTTAACTAATTATTTGTACTTGTAAGTAATAAGTAATTTGGATGTTAAAAAAAGTTAATGGATCTATGAAAAATGTTTTGTTTTTTTATTTACTAGGGAATAGTGAAATACAATTTAAAACCTATCACTAATGTGTGTGTATATTACATACAAAAAAATGTTTAGGAGAGGAAAATAACTGAATAGGTACAGTGTACAGTGTATATTTTTAGTTTACCGGACACCATTTTCAGAATTCGGGAGTCAGATTAGGTTCTAATGTTATAGCTATTTGAAACCCAAATCCGAGAAAATACTATAAATTTCAATTGGCTATAACTTTAAAACTAAGTCCGACCTCCAAATTCTGACTTCACCGTCGTTTTCAGCTTGCTTAACTGCAGCATACGTCATGACAAAAAAGATGGATAAATAGGGGTGTCCAGTAAAACAAAAAAGTTCCAAATACAATTCATTGAAATCGGTGTATCGTGTATGTGTATTGTGTATATACATATTTTTCAAAAAATAATTATTTTATTAAGCTTATAATGGGGGTACCTATTAATTTTTTTCCATGATAAACATTAATTGTTTAATTAAATACATCCTTAAAATTTTACATTTACATTTTTAGTGCATTCAATTTAATCAAAGGCAGGTAGTTGTAATTTTACTGTTGGTGATCCCATCAGTGACAGAAATGTCCCAAACAGTACATCGTTGATTTGTTTAATATATGTTTTTACCCGTAGGACGCCGCGAGTCACAGCAACCTCGGAGCCATACTTCACATCAACAACAAGTTGGACGAGGCAGAACGGTCGTACAAGAACGCGCTCCGACTGCAACCGGACGACGCGACCACGTTGGCCAATCTCCAGAAACTCAGAAACGTCCATCACCATCGGCATACGGTCAAATGATCGATATCTCCGAACAGTCAAATGATCGATGTCCCCGATCTGTCAAATTATATAGGTACAATGTACATAAACGTGATTAATATACCGTGGTTATCCGCGTGGTCATCGTATCGAAGCCAATTTCCTACAATATTATAATAATATATCTTTTATTACCTATTCGTTTTGTTGTTTTCCATTATATACACTTATACTTTTTTTTTCGTAATTTTTTTGTTTTGTAACAATATTTTATGATGTTAAGTCTTTCTTTGAGTTCTTATTTTTTTCCAAAACAATACTCGTTGACATTATTATTATATAATAAATATATATATACATACATTCTGTGACTCTGTGTATTGACGTTCCGTTATTGTGTGTTGTGTTTCAAATTGTCAATCCTTTCGGTTTTTATCCTTCGAGATAAGAGATTCTTTTACCAGCTCAAAAAATGTGCGCGGGACTTTTATACATCACTCCCCGACGTTAAAATACACTTTTGACGCATGTCTTTCCAGCTTTATAATTGTATTTCCTAATAATATATTATGCAGCTGCCTACTAACATAAAATAAACCTATTGTTATTTTAAGTTTATTATGGGCTTGCATTTTCCTATAAAAAATCATAATCTATATAAATATATTATATATTATAATAGGTAATGTTCTAGGAATCAGTACTATACTTAGAGTACAATGCCGCCATATTTTTATAATTTATTTATATTATGAGTATTGTTACAAATGAAAAATAATTGAAAGTTTGAAACTGTTGATGTTTAAATTTACTCTCTAAATTTATACTCAAATAATACAATTCAATTATAATAACAGTCACAATACATTAAGTACAATGAAAAAATATTGTTAATGTGTTAATGAAAATTTAAATGTACGAAATAACTAGGTATTTTAATTATAATATAAATATATAATATTGTTGATGCCCTTTTTAAATATGGCGACCTAATTAGTCTCCGACTTCAGTTTATTACAACAGTAATATATCTAGATTATTATCTATATCATCTGTGATCGGAATACATCGAAGTTATCTTCAGTCCTTCAGACTGATAAAGAGTTAAGAGCGCCGAATATCTACTGCAAAAAACATAATTTTTTTCAAAATTTAACTCAAGAAGATTACAGCAAGATATTTGTTTTCTCTCTGAGACCCCTGCGTAACACAGACAAAACACTTTTACCTAAAATCGTTTTTTTTTATGATTTTTGAGTAATTTTAAAGTAAAATCACCTATTACGAAAATTATACAGGATAATATTTTTGAGGGTACCTGTTGGTTTGATATCTTATTAGTATCGGACTCCACACTTTAAGTTCGTAACAGTACAATCTCGGACTCATTCCATGTACCCTGCTTGCAGAAAGAAATACATCAAACTACCAAGAATAGCTACATCAAACTCTAAACAGCTCAGTTCACTCCCACCTAAACAACATGGAGAAAACCCAAGGTCCTCTTGAATACTACAAAAGTCGTAATTTCTCTACTCCGAGTAAAGGGACCTACAGCCCCGTAACTAAGTAAATGGACTTACATCTATCATACTATGCTATGATGCAGAAGCTCGTAGCCCTCCCCCCCAAAAAAGGACTATTATGTCTGTAAGACAGAAATTTTAATGATTTTGACTTATAGAGGTTTACAATAGGAACACGGCGACCAGTCGGCAAAATCCGATCGTCTGATTGGACCCTTAGAGCAGAGTAAGCCACTCCCGTGACGCTTTTTGGTAACAACGGCTAAGCCTATAAATCTGACTTATACGCTACCGAGACTAAAAAATTGTTTCACTTCAATAAAATTACTATATCTATGTGAATAATATAATTAAATTTAAAACATAATCTAATGTATGCACCTACCACCTAGTTATATATAAAAATATTATATTTTTCTAATCAGAGTTATTCGGGTTGTACAGGATATCGTGTCATTTCAATTATTTTTAATAACTCCCTACACTTTCCTTCGCAATGGGTACTTAATACTTAATAGGTATTTTATTTTGTCAACTTTCTTAACTCGACAGGTTGGTTTAATTTCCCATTGTGCATCATTTAAGACATACCGGTTCATACATACTGATTGCATATTTGCATTTCATCTCCCGTAAGTCTACAAATATGTACTTCGGTGCTTGTGATTTTTATAAATTCTTTGATAAACGTAAACTATTTTAGTTTTCATATAATCCACCGTATATTAGGTTTATGTTAGTACAATATTATTTTTATCATATAAAAACATATTTACAAATGTTTAACTATTTTTTTTACATAGTTAATAAAGTTTAATCGTTCTAATTTTAAAAAACAATGAAATGCTGTTAAAATTAAGTCACCACTAGATCGTGAAAATAGGTATACCTAATATGCATACCTAGGTAAGTGTAAAATATTTAAATTTACATTCACATTCACACGATTCTCAACGGGACGCGGTAAAAAATATTCATATTTTTTATGATTTTCGCAGTTTCCAATTTTATTGCGGGTAGTCCGGGGAGCTTAAACAAGCACTGCGTACGCATAACAACAATAATAACTGCGGTATACGCAAACGTGAAAAAAAATAGTCTCTCGAGATTTACCCTCTGGAATAATATAATGTGGCAACGCGATGATATTCCTGTAAATAATATTATAAATATAAAGGTAGGCACCTAAATACATCTCTTCGGCCGTGTCGCGGCCTAATTATATACCTATATAGCACAGGTATATTATAATGCAGACAACTGTGACGTTTTATTCTTCAGACTAAAAGTTTTTCGTCGCAGAATTTAATAATAATAATTTATGAGATCCGTAGACACCTCTGTATATGTGTGCGGGGTATGGGTATAGATGTGTAGTGTTTTTCTAAGCGTGATCACTTTTATTTAAATATTATGTAAGAAAAATTATAATTATTAAGTTGGATTTTCATCAAATCATAATTTTACTACACTATAACTGCTATAACTGCTTGCACAATCGGCAATAAAAAATTGTGAACATTTCAAGTATCCATGGTTATTTGTAATATATTTTTGGTATTTCGCTCGGTTTTTATTTTTTAATTCTAACAACATCTTATGAGTCATGAGGAACCTTGTATTTAATTTTCAAATCTTAGGTATGAATATTCAAATTTTCATACGTTTTTAATTTCAAAATAAATTACAGGTATTCATAATTTTGAAAATTATATTAATGCAGAGAAAATTATATTATAAACTTTTGGTGTCAATTTCAAGAAAAGTTTCCCGTTTTCATTAATTTTTTTGGAGGTTTAACTAGTTATTTTGTAATACCTTTGAAAAAATACTTAGAATTTTCGTTATTTTTATCTCTTATAAGTACTAACTAGATCCAATTTTTTACCACAAACATCGCTCAAAGTAGAAAATCAAAGTATTTTTGTACTATAAATCATGTAAACGTATACAACATACAACATAAGCACATCATTATAAATTCAATACAATCGCTTTATCCGCTCTGCAGTCAAATTTAAAAAAACGAATTTAATTTGAAAGATCTAAAAGTCGTTCACTATTTTTAAAAGTATAAATTTTCATCACGTTTACAAATTCACAATCAATATTTATTTATTTGCTATAAAAAATAATAATTCATATATGTAATGGCGAATCCACGCTCCGACAGTGCTGTTGGCTAAAAATTATGAACGTAAATATCGCGGTGGTGGATCAAGACTGCATTCGTTATACGTAGTATAATATTATAGGTATAACATCAAACGGAAATCAGCTGAAACAATAATAATACATAGAATTTAACGACTGAAATTTATTATAATTAATTTCGCAGTCTGATTTGAGAGTGCCATTATTCAATATTCGTTATTAATCTTTAATTCTTTGTCACCCAAAGGTTAGGTGAGGTAAATTGTAAGTGTTATACTTTTAAGAAACAGTTAAATTGAAAAATTATTATTTATAACATAACAATAATCCGTGTTTCCTGTCGTACAATTATTATTCTGCGATTGTGTTAATAATATATTGTGTAGAGTAAAATACTCAACTATACTGCGAATTTCAACCACGCTCGAGCCGATCCTCTTCGATTATTATTTAATATTTACGAGCAACCACTTGTGATGTCACCCTCACCATACGAATAAAAAATCCGATGATGTGTAGTCATAATAATATATTCGTGTGTAAAATATAAATTCAATTTTTTTTTCGCGAGTCTCCATCAATTAAGCTGTTTTATTTTTTTTATTCAAAAAACGACTTAAACGAATACAATGATAACAATAATCACGGCCGTAGCTGCTGACGATCGTTTTGTTTGCGTCGGCGTCGTTGCTGATCGGTCTGCTGCAGTCGCCAAACGGTGCGGATGTCGACGTCGTCGACCATAATTTGAAGCGGGACACAACCGACATAATACCCGATAACTGGTTGTCCGATCTGTTTTACCGGGCGCTGGCCAACTTCACCTTAGGGAGGGCGGACGACACAGCTTGTCGCCGGCAATCCGCCGTGTATGAGGAACGTTTAAGTGACCAGTAACCACACCAGTTGGACCGTCAGAAGTGAGTGATAGGTAATCAATTATTTCGTATAAGTTGCAAATAATTTTCGTGTTGCAGTTAGATGACGAACTCACTGTATAAAATCAAATTAAAATGAGGATTGAATTATTGAGAGTTTGAAATATTTGCAAGTTGCAACCCTACCATAAACTGCTGATGGCTATATATTGCGGTGGAGAGTCTTATATTCTTATAAAGATTTTAATACAATGAACATTGTTGTAGTATCAACAATTATACAATTTAAATACTTATCATTATTTACATTTAGTACCTATGATGCAGTAACAGTTCAAAATGTTAACATCATAAAAATTTAAAAAAAACATACATATTAATTTTAAGAAACCTACATAGTACATATATTAATTATAGACGTAAACACGTCCTATCTTGACTACTGAACAATGTATTATTCAGTTCATAGATCTTAAGTTCTATTTCGTTAATTTAATCTACAGTTAAATGTTTTTTTTTTCGCTTGTATTGAATGACAAATATTAACTAAAAAATGTATACAATTATATTTTCGCTATACAATTTTTTTTTTAGTACAGATATAAAATCACAGTTTTTTAATAATTCATCCATTATTTATGTGTCTTTATCGTGTAACTAATGTACCTACTCCCGCATACATAAAATATATACAGATTTTAACAAGTAAATGCAATTTTTAACTTTTATGTGGCTTATAAGTTTGAAAAAATTTACAACTGATATTAATAT